ACGCAGAGTCTTTACATACCCTTCATCCATGGCTTCGGGTGACTCAAATATCCTTAGACCTTCTACAATTGTTGGTGACTCCTTATAGGGCAACACACCAACCATAGTGGGCAACCGATTTGACTTTGAAGTCACCTCTGAGGGATTATATGTGGCTCCTGGATCCTCTCGGGCAACAAAACAAAAATTCATCCCTCGGCCTCCATTGTCGGGAATTCCACTCATTCATGATTTTCCTACAAAGAAGAAACAAGTCATGGGATCCAAGAAAAGATTCCTCAAAACCGACCCAGTTTCTTGGACTACCAACAGAGCTAGTTCTGAAGAAATTTCCAAATTACTTTGCACAACAGCCATTGAAGCTAGAGCCTACAAAGTGTATCACCCTGGGAAACGCACAGCTTTTCAGACCCCTGCTACTGCTATGTGTGTCTATTTAGACCAGATTATGTGTGGGCTACGGTTTGCACTCCATCCTTTCATCATCCAGGTTTGTGATGAATTTTGTGTGGGTTTTCCCCAACTCACTCCACACTCAATAACGGTCCTAATTGCCTTCATTGTGAAGTGCCAACTACTAAATGTCCCTTTAAGCATTGAGGCGTTCACCTTCCTGTTTCAGCTCAAACCTCTGGAAGGAACTAGTGCCTGGTACTACATCTGCAGGAGACACAGAATTTGAAGGTTTTGAAGGTAGTAGAATTAAATATGACAATTCAGTATTACCTACTTCTCTTCCAACCTTAGGGAAAACCGATTGGCAAGAAAGATTTTTCTTTTTGGAGGGCCCAAAGAATTCTAATTTCCTTGCAGTTTGGAGGAATGGTAGGACGAACACCCCAGAAATTCTCCTTGATGCTGAATCATACCTTGTCATCAACAAACTCCTTAACAACAATTCTATAAAAGTAGAAGTCTTACTTGATGAAGGCAATCTCGTCAGATCTAAAGTTTGGCACCATCACCATGTGCCTTCAACGGTCATTATCCTTAATCTTCCCCTAGACTTTGAGGCTACAAAGAAACCTGAGACTTCCTTTCAAAAAAGCAGAAAAAGGAAAGAAAGCTCTACAAAAGGTATGTTAGAATTCTTTGTTGCTCATTCATCAAATTCTTAAGTCTCAAAAATCATTTCTAATAAGATGTTGTTGCCTATAGGTTCTACCATAATTGCACTTAATTTGCTGGATCGCTGTGTGAAAAAAAATAAGAATTCAACTGAGGAAGAAGACTCAGTTGCCATGGGAATTCCTAGAGCTCAGGACTACCCAAACTCTCCAATGAAGCAAATAGAACAATCTTCAGATATCCCTCTTGTTTTCCCAGAGACAGTAACCTACACTATAGAATCCAGTCAGAACCAACAAACCTACAGCACCTTGTTAATATGGGATCGATTACAAAAGCTTCAAGAGACTGACAGAGAGTTATTATCTTCTATCATGGTGTTGTTCACGGGAAAAAATCAAACCGAGAAGTCCATTTCTTTTGAGCTTGATCTTGAGTCAGGTATCTTCAAGTCCTTGAACTCTTTTTAGCTTTCTCCCCCTTTTTTTTATACACCTAACAATCCATTCTTCAATGTTTTTAGGATATGATCCGAACATGAGAGGAAGATCAGTGCTCCGAGAAAGCTCATTTGCATACCAGCTATCAAAGAGTTTCCTTACAGAGGAAGACAAAAATCACCTAAAAGAACTTACAGCATAGACACGATGGCATGAAACTAACCATTATCTCGCAAAGGTTTGCAACTTTCTTGTCTTTTTTCTGTCTTCAATGCTCTAGAGACTTTTGTTTGTAAGTTAAATTTTCAATTTCTAGGTTATGGCTTACCACCAAACATTAAAAGAAGATTACCTTAAGAATGAGGATGCCAGCTTTTACGTAGAGGAGGAGGCTACAAAGCTCAAGAACTTATTTGGTGATGTTGTCCAAATATGTCTTCGACTTGATGAAGAGAAAAATGCTGCAGTGCAAAGATCTGAGCTCCTATCTATTGAGCTAGAAAATTTGAAAAAGCTTTTCGCAAACTCACATGAAAATTACCTCTCAATTAAGAAAGAGAAAGACGAAATTGAGAAAGAAATGAAAGCTAACCATTCTGCCCTGGAGGAAGCAAGGAAAACTGTTCAACTTCTTCAAGATGAGAAAGAGAGTTACCTGCGTAAATTAGATGAGCTCAAACAATCAGTGACAAAGCTTTCATCTCAAAACACAAGTCTTCAAACGCAGATCACCAATACTTCAACTGACACTATCCATAAATTTAAGAGATCAGAAGAAGGTCAAACTTGGGCTTTGAGTGGTTGCATAGATCATTTTCATCTTGTTGTATCCATCATAAAAACTCTTATACTTGAACGAGACATGCTAAAGGGTGATCATATTCCAAGTATTCAAGAGCTTAACATTTGTGAGGAAATCAAGCAAGACCCAGGTTTGAAGAAAATGTTTGAGGATGGGGTGAAGAAGATCTCCAAAGAATGTTATTCTGAAAATGAGGGAGAAGAATCTGCGGACCAAGAGTGCGATTCCAGCAACCCTGAACATGAAGATTCTTCTCAAGATGAAGCTTCTAGCTCTTAGTTTTTATATTATTTCTTAGAATAAATTGTTTCCTTGAAAGTTTTTGAACTTTGGCTTTTCATGTTTTGCCAGAATTTTTACCAACTTACTTTTTTAGAAAGTTGATTTAGCATGACACCTTCTTAAAAATGTCTTAGTTTTCAATGAGAAAACTGTTGCAACTGGTTTTCCTCGGGCCCTGAGCTTAACCAGCTTTTCACCGCTCTTTAATGGTGTTTTCCCGGGATAGGCTCCCTAACCTTCAAAACAAAGTTAGAGTTATAGAATATTGCATAATTAGATAAAATCAGAGAAATTAGGCATGCTATTCAAAGTAATACGCAACATTGGCAAAGGTTTTATTCACAAAATTTATTCAACCTTGCTAAAACAAGAAAAAATTACTGATAATACTTCTTCAGATGAACTGCATTCCAAGCCCTTGGGATTGGAGTTCCACTCGGCTTAACAAGTTTAAAAGCTCCATTACCCAAGTCTTTTTGAATCAAATATGGTCCTTCCCAACTAGGGCGTAACTTCCCTTCATGAGAATTGCACTCTGTGACCTCTGCCTTTCGTAAGACCCAGTCTCTTTAGTGTAAGTCCTTGGGTCTAACTTTACTGTTGTAGTACTTCTCCACTCTCCTATGGTAATGGGCAACACGGATTTGGGACAGATCCCTAGCTTCGTCCAAAAGATCCAGATTCTCCCTTAAAGCTTGTTCATTGGAGTTGGCATTAAAGTAGTTCGTTCTGTAATTTCGCACCTTAACTTCAACCGGCACTACAGCTTCTGAACCACATGTTAAATTGAATGGAGTTTCTCCTGTTGGAGTCTTATGTGTTGTTCTGTACGCCCATAAAGTGTATGGCAACTCCTCTGTCCAAGTTCCTTTTGCAAACCCTACCTTCTTCTTTAAACTCTCTAAGATAGCCTTATTTGCTGCCTCTGCCTGTCCATTAGACTCTGGATAAGCTACAGAAGCAAACCTCTGCTCAATTTGCTGTAAACTCAAACCTTCTGTCTCTAATTGTGCTCTGACCGAAAACCTCCTCTCTATCTTTCCTGTTTGGCAGAAATCTTTGAAGGCCTCACTTGCAAATTGCGTTCCATTATCTGTAACCAGAACCCTCGGCATCCCAAACTGACACATAATGTGTTTTTTGACGAACTCTTCTACCTTTTGTTCTGTTATTCGAGCTACTAGTTCTGCCTCGATCCACTTAGTAAAGTAGTCTATGGCCACAATAAGGAACTTTTTCCTTCCCTTAGCCTCGGGGAAAGGACCAAGGATGTCCATCCCCCATTGAGCAAAAGGCCATGGGGCTACTATCATGTGCAAAGGGTTAGTAGGTTGATGCTGGACATGGGCAAATCTCTGACATCTATCACACTTCTTGACATATGCCTTAGCATCAGCTTTCAGTGTAGGCCAAAAAGGATTTTACGTGCTAGAGAATCTGCCGCCATATGACTCGAGCAAAGTCCTTCGTGTACCTCTTCCAACACTACTTGTGCTTCTACAGGCCCTAAACACTTCAATAAAGGATGTGTATAGGACCTATGATAAAGTTGCCCATCAAAAATTGTGTACCAAGCAGCTTTCCTCTGCAACTTTTAGCTTCTTTTTCATCTTCTGGTAAGATTCCACTTTTAAGGAAAGTGAGAATTGGATTTATCCAGCTTTGCTCCTCTTGTGTTGGCAAAGCATTTTCCATCTCTATACTAGGTGAAGAAAGTGTCTCTATATAAACTTCCACTCCAGACACACCTAGCCCTATGCTTGCCATCTTTTCCAAGGCATCGACTTTAAGGTTCTCTAACCTTCTTACTTGGCTCAACTCATATCCCTGGAAGGATTGTAAAAATTGCATAGTCAGAGATAAATATTGAGCCATTACCTGCTCTATTGCAATGAAGTCACCATTGACTTAATTCACTATAAGTTGTGAATCACTATAAATCCTCAAGTACTCCACTCCTGCTGCCTTGGCAAGTCTCAATCCCCCAAGAAGTGCCTCATACTCTGCACGATTGTTCGACGCCTCAAAATTAAATCTTAATGCACAATCAAAAGTGGAGAGATTAAGATTATTCCTGCTCCACTTCCTGCTGCATTAGAAGGGCCATCAACATATAGGTTCCACACAAGGTTAGAAGGTAGGTTTTTTGTTGGTTTCTTTGGCTCTGGAGCTTTCCTCTTACATGGTACGTCTATGAGTGGTGCTTGCATTACAGCCTTTTCCTCCTTGCTTAACTCTGCTATGAAATCTGCCAGTACTTGTGCTTTCATTGCTCTCCGTGGCTGAAACTCCAGTTCAAACTCTGTGAGCTCAATACTCCACCTTACAAGTCTCCTTGCCAAATCTGGTTTAGCATAGGCCAACTTCTCCAAAGGCTTGTATCTTGTCTCAACCCCTTGCAACACTTTGCTGACATAATACATAGGCTCCTGCTTGCTTCCATCTTCCCTAACCAATGCAGTACTAATTGCCTCGATACTCGTAGCAATATACAAGTACAATTTCTCACCTGGAATTGCCCTGCTCATCAATGGTGGAGATGATAAGTATACTTTCAATTGATCAAATGCTTTTTGACAATCAAAGGTCCACTCAAAAGTTTTATTGCCACGTAAAGTTTTAAAAATAGGTAGGCATCATTATGCAGATTTTGATACGAACCTGCTCAATGCAACTACCTTTCCCATTAGCTTCTGAACTTCCTTTGTTGAGGATGGAGGTTTCATCTCCAACACTGCACGAATCTTCTCTGGATTGACTTCAATGCCCCTGCTTGTCAACATGAATCCTAAGAATTTCCCAGCCTTGACTCCAAAAGTGCATTTTGTAGGATTCAGCTTCATGTTATGGGTTTTGAGTACCTCGAAGACTTGTTTCAGGTCTTCAATGTGTTGGTCTAAGCTTTTTCTTTTCACCAAAATATCATCCACATAAACTTCAACACATTTACCTTTTAGATATACAAATATCTTATTAACAAACCTTTGATAGGTAGCTCCTGCATTTTTTAGACCGAAGGGCATGACAGCATGACAACATAACAATAGGTAGCACCTGCTGCTATGAATGCAGTTTTATCCCGATCCTCCTTTGCCATAGGAATTTGGTTATACCCAGAGTATGCATCACATAAACTCAAAACCACATAACCAGAGGAATTATCAACTAGTTCATCAATATTTGGCAAAGGATAATTGTCTTTGGGACATACCTTGTTTAAGTCTGTAAAGTCCACACACATTCGCCACTTTCCATTGGCCTTTTTCACCATCACCACATTTGATAACCATTCAGAAAAAGTAATCTCTTGAATGAATCCTGCCTCTTTAAGCTTTGCTACCTCTTCTTCAATAGCTACAGTCCTTTCAGCCCCGAAGTGTCGCACTTTCTGTCTAACAAGAACAGCATCTGGGTTAACTCCAAGCCTATGGCATGCAACCTTTGGATCGATACCTGGCATATCTACTGGACACCATGCAAAAATGTCTTTATGCTCCCTAAAGCAATTTTCCAATTGTGCCATAAAGCTTGGATCCATGTCTACACCAATGTTGACTGTACGCTCGGGCCTCTTCTCATCAAGAACCACAGGTTTTACTTGGTCAATTGGCTCAGTTCGACATTCCTTCAATTCCTCCCTCATGTCTAGGCTATCTACTGTCAGAGTTTTTTCCCTGACAATATCTCTAAGAGCCACCAGATCCCAATGTTTTGACTTGTACTTTTTCTTAGTCACTTTGTTAGGTTCTGATGTTTGCACTTGGTCTTGAGCTTGTGGTGTTCACTCCACTACTTCAACAGGCTTCCCTCTTGCCATTCCAACTCCATTTGGCGTAGGGAACTTTATCATCATTGCTTGTGTAGAGACCACCGCTTGCAAGGAGTTAAGCCCAGGACGTCCCAAAATTGCATTAAAAGAGGAAGGGACATCAATAACAAAGAAATCTAAGGTAACAACAACCACACAAGGGGAAACACCAACATGAATAGGGAGAGAGATAATACCTCTTACAGGCACGGATTTTCCAGAAAGGCCCACCAATGGAAAATCACAAGGTCTCATCAGTTGTGGAGATACTCCTAGCTTTTTGAATGCTCCATAACACATCACATCTCTGCAACTCCCTGTGTCCACCAAGACACGCTTCATCACCTTGCCCTTTCGTAGATTTCTATCTTCCACCACTATTTCAATCATTAGTGGATCATGTGGGAATACCTCCCTTTGATCCAGATCCTTCCCAGTGAAAGTGATGGTTTGAGTTGAAGGTGGGCTTTCATTGCTTCCTTTGACTGCTAAAGCCATAGATGCTGGAGTTGCTGAAGGTGGGACTGTTATAACATTAATTACCCCCACAACATCTAGAGATTCCTTCTCTTTATGCCAACCAGCTTCCCTCCTGTCTTGTGACCTTTCCATTCTCCTTGCTCCCCTCTGGCTTCCTGGATGCCCGACAAATTGCCTCAACGCTCCTCTACGAATTAATCGTTCAATTTCCATTCTGAGTTGCTTACAATCCTCTGTATCATGACCATGGGTCCCATGAAATGCACAATGACGAGTCTTATCACGCTTGTTACCATTACTACGAAGCTTTTCAGGCCAATTGAGGTGTTCTATCTCCTTTGCCACTGCAAGTATATGCACCATTGAGGTGTTTAAAGGTGTGAATGTGGTATACACCCTTGGCGCCTCTTGCAATGTAGAGCAATAATTCTTGAGATTTCTACCAACTCCTCGCTTTCCTCCTCTGACATCAGCTATGTCATTTGACCTGTCAAACCTTCGCTTTTTATTTCCTACTACAACTAAATTAGGTTCGAAAGACTCACCACCTTTCTTGGCTATAGCACGTTCTTCAGCTCGAATATAGCCTTTTGACCTGTGAAGTATGTCCTTAAGGCTCTTTGGTTCTTCTCTATTTAGAGAGTGCAAGAAATCACAATCTTTCAAGCCATTCATCAAGGCATGCATTGCCACTCCTTCATCCAGATTATCCACCTGCAAAGATTCATTATGGAAATGAGCTATGTAGGCCCTTAAACTTTCATCAGTTTTCTGCCTGATACTCATTAGATGGTGGTTAGTCTTCTTCGGGACTTTGCTAACAGTAAAATGGTCAATAAAACATCTTTCTAATTGCTCAAAAGAGTTAATAGACTTAGCTTTCAATTTAAAGTACCAGGTTTGAGCTGCTTTCTTCAGTGAAGAAGGGAACACTCTGCACAATAATGCATCAGACGCTCCATAAATCATCATTGCTAGCTTGTAACTTCTCACATGCTCTATCAGGTCTTGTGTTCCATCATACTGTGTCAACTAAGGTGGCTTGAATGATGGAGGCATGGGTTCTTTAATTATCTCGTCAGAGAATGGATCACATATAGAGGCTATTTGTGGAGCATCTGTTGCTTGTTGTTGTGCCGTGCGCAACTCTTCCATTTGTTGGCGCAAAGTTTCCATGTCCTTTTGCAGAGTTTCATTTCGCTCCCTAAGGGAGTCCCGCGTGCGACTTAATTGCACCTTGCGGTTTGTTATCATTGTTTTATCCTCCAAATTGGCCTGTGTAGGTTCATCACCCCTAAAGTGATGCTGGGCTTGGACTCTGCTTGCTGACTCGGGAGTATTTGCACTCGTAGAGCCTCGGGTCCAGGTGTGTGACACATGTGCCAACCTGCGAGGACGGAAGTTCCAATGTGAGACTGAAAAAGCCGAGGTTGGTTCGAGAGTGTTGATATTGTCTGCACTCGTCGACCGTTGTGATGGGACATAGTCAGGATCGTTCTCCTGTGTTTCCACATTTGAACCTTCTCTTTGCACCATGGGGAACAAAATATCCTGTGATTGGGGGGTGCGTCGTTGATTTCTGAACATTTGTGATGGAGAATACCTCCTTGGTGGATGGACATCCTTGGTGGTACACGAGCCCGATGTGCACGAACCGACGACAAATGTAATTGGCCATGGTTTTCTGTTAGAAGCGTTACCGCTTGCTCAATTGCGTGTACACTTCTTTCCATTTATGCCATATTCTGGGTGAGGTGTTGAATTTGATCCTCTATTGTATTCCCATGCCTAGAAGGACCTGATCTCTGGACTTGCCGAGTAGAATTTCGTGAAGACGAAGATGGGGTTGTAGCAAAGGAGTCAATACCGTACCGGTATGCGTACCGGTTTTGTTACTGGAACGGTACGTACCGGATACCGGAATTTTTCGTGTACCGTTTCAGATTTATCGCTATAAAAATATTTTTATAAAAAAAATTAATGTAATTAAAGATAAAATTTTAAAAATCCTTTTGAATGAGTAACAATCCTTTTTTTTTCAACCATTAACCTAAATCCATTACAACCCAAACAAAGATACTTTACATGATTTAAATTAAAAACATTAAAATAATGATAATTATTAAATAAATAATAAAAAATCTTATAAAAATTAAAAAGATTAACTCTTTTTTACCAATTAAAAAGGGTAGTTAAACAAATTCTCAATAAATATTAAGAATATTTCACTTAAAAAAATAAAACCCTCTTAGTAATTTTTGTTTGTT